TGCAATATAAATTAACCGTTTTAAAATCCTTTTAAGGAGCGGACAAACCCGGCCCATGCAATAAAACGATGATTTTAATTGACAAACCGCCCATTAAAAATATCACTCGCCGAATGAGAAGAAGCAAGTCTGAGACCACTTTTTCATATAAAAAGCCGTGCTACCTCCGCCGCCACGCCTTTGCATTATAATATAAAGCAGACCGTCTTGCTAATTAGAGGTCAAGTAATTAGGCTGAGAGGACATTCGTTGCGCAAAAGGAGGTGAAAAAGTGGACGAAACTCTCATTTTTGCACGACCGGCTAATTTACAAGTCGTGTTTTGTTCGAGATAAAAAGAAATATAAAAATAATCTCTGCACTCTGAATTTTTACCAACCGTAATAAAAAATGCAGAATTTATTCATTCACGCTGACACGGAATATTAATTTAAGAGTAAAGTGCCGAGAACATTCTTGCAAGTAGCGGTACCTTCGCGACAATAAACCCATAATGGCAGTAGTTGCATTTTTACTGCTGACAATAGCCTTCTGATTATCGGGTTATTATTAATAATACCCTCGGTCGTACAATGACTTCATCTGCATCAGTGGCTACTCGCTCGATCATAAACCGCACAGGGTTATTTCAAAACTAACTCCAGCATATGTAATGCAATATAATAATGACGCCTACGGTGTAATTGTCAAAGTGGTAATTTATTTCAATGCGAGCATCAGATGTCCGCCGGAGATATTTATTTATTCTTGCCCTCTCAGTCAGCTCGTAAAGATATTCGTTTATCGAATTACGCAAGCGCGAGGTATGTACATAATGCTAATTAGCCATAAAACAGGCGAGAGAGTGGCTGAGAAGATCAAAATTCGATCTGCAGGTGAGCAGTCTTTTATGTTAGAGAGAGATGCTCTGTCTATGGCCATAAATTATTCAGGTCGCTTGCTAACTCATAATCTCTTAGTCCGACGCCTTTGGTATGTGAATATGCACCAGAATTTAATGCAAAGTGATTAAGAACGAAGCTGTTACAAGAGCATTAATTCAGCTGCAGTCTAATCCTATGCCATGCTTGGCCGAGATGAGAGAGAACCTCTCCAGAGAGAGTGCATGTGCAGCCTCTGAAATATAATTCAAGCATCTTTCCCAGAGTAAATCCTGCGCACTAATCTTGTTTTCTGTCACAATCTGCCATATCTTGGCAGATTAACAATCACTCTCGCCCTCCACCGTAAAGCAATTAGTTGCGGGAAAATACAGGTAATTTACAGCCGCACAGAGAATTAAAAATGAACTATTGCTTTTGTCTTCCGTAATTAATGTCAAAATTCAAGAGATTTCGTCTCTTATTACCCGTGTGTCCTTGAGTAATGGCGTGTTGTGAGCATCAAAAGCAGTCATAATTAATATTGCACATGAATAAAACATGCACACGCGGCTGCAAAAGGTTATAATTTTTGCGTTACGGGCGAAAGAGGAAAAAAATATTATACTCGTTTATGTATAATCCTGATTAAACACTCCAAAACGCACCCGGCATCAAATGAAACAGGCTTTCTAAAATGACAGACAATGAAATTAAAAATACATCAAAGTGAATTCGGAATTATCATTGGTGGAAAAGCGGCGAAAGAGCGAGTGGCTTTGCCGACAAGCGAGGAGGCACAGAGTTGAAATAACTCGCAACTTATTACATTGTGGAAGTTTTTCCTTTTGTAGGGAGGAGCTCGACGATTTTTCAAATCACATCCACCAAACACAGAGAGCGATGCTGCTTTGAAAACCACACTTTTCCACTGGGAATGATTTCAAACAAGCAGAGATCCAATTAATTTTTTGCTTAGCACTCCGACAGATACATCATCAAAAGTTAATCAAATCAAACGCTGAATTGATTACTAACTGAAATGGATTTTTAAATTGAAATAATCATAGGAAAACAATACCAAAAAAAAAAATTATAATTCGTTAGTTTAATTTACAATGTGCTTGTTACAATTTGCTATATTTTTGAATATTCGTGTTTGCCACTAAAATGTTAAAATAAAATTAAAAGTGATCTGTGCCTTACAATTTTCATAACATACCTGGCATGAGGTTTTGCCTCATTTTTCATTATCGGAACGGTTCACTATGGGCGTTCGGCCGGGCAAGAAACCGAAAAGGCGCCCACCCTCGCAAAAAATAAAATCTTGAGAAACTTTCACTCGGCTCTCGCGACCTTTGATCTGGCAGCTGAGGCGAAATAATATTCTAAACGGCGTGTGTGCCCGGAGACGTCAAGTGCTCGCCGAAGAATTACCAATTGGCACTTTAGTGAAAGTCGGCTTGATCGTCAATGGCGTTTAATTTAGTAAAAAACGCACACATATTGTTATTAAAGAGTCCATCACCGTCATTTCAAAACGGTAGATCGCTATCGCCAGAGAGCCGTGTGGGCATAAACTTTACGACGCGATGAAGAATAGCCATTAAGGCCATTATAACTCATTGTCATATTCGCATGCATATCAATATTGCGCCGGGCATAGGAAACCCGTTTGAGCGGCAGGAAAAAATCGACAGGGAGAGTGGGAGGCGAGGCAAAAGCCGGCTGCTCATACTGGTTTCCTCGGTTCGAAGATGATATTGAGTTATTTTAATATTGATTCCAAGTCGCCATCCATCATTTTTCGCCCGCCTAACTTGGTGAGCGACCGTCAGATATGCTCGCGCGAGAGACGCCGCGCCGTTTCATATCATTTGGAAAGTGTCAAAAATGCTTCCAAAGGAAAGAAAAATGCCGAAATTAAGTCGAACCGCGCCTCATTTTTCTCTCCTTGCGATATTATAAGAAATAAAGAGAGGAGCCTATATATGTATAAGATGTGCTGTCAAGATGCGGAAAATCACGCTTCTAAAAAAGATGATGCGCATGGGGTTCATATCGTACGGTTGTTTCGTTGAGCGTGAAACTTTAAAATTGTGAACTTTTCAATTCGTATACATAGACACAGCAAAAAAGCTGATGTTGGAGAGCAATATTTACATTTATTAAAATTTTGAATCGTTCCATTAAATTATGAAATTTGTAAGTTCAAAGGAATTTTGAACACAATTTTAATAAAAATCAATTGAATTAACTAAAAATTTAATAAAAAAGATATCTTATTGGTGTGCTGGATGCAAATTAACAGTTTGAATTAAAAAGAATATTGCAAAAAATATTATTCATATTCACAGGATACATTTTCTTCAATTTTCCCTTGTTTTTTTTCAGTAGAAAAAAATTTTATGACCAAAGTATTTAAAAAAATCTTTGGAATTTCCTGCAAATTATACTGGAATTGATTTCTGTCTTCCGAGAGGAATTTATTTATGCTTCTATTTCTTATTTCTGTGCTAAAAAGTGGATGCACAATAGATCAAAGTTAATTCAGCACGGTCTCATTTTAATGACCGGAGCAAAAAGCCATCCGGGGAATTTCTTAATGAGTTCAAATTCCATCAGCAGCGCGCACGATTTATGGCCGAGCGCGGCTAGATGTATGTAGCGGCAGCTCATTTTATTATTTGTTCTGGTGGTGTTGCGATCCTGTGTGCGAGTATATTGAAAGGCGCACGGTTATTGGTATTCGCTATCGCGTTTCTTCATCTGGAAATAAACTTATGCCTTCCACCTTTGCGCCGCTCTGCTTCTTATAACGGTAGTAAACTACCTCCTGCTCGTCTCTCTTTCGTTCGGACGGACGGGCGACCAGCGAGAGAGCGAGCATTTTGCCTTTTGCCGGTCGTGTAGGGCGTATGATATAATAGTGAGCGAGTTAGTCCAACACACACCACAACCTTGTTTGTATTACCACGCCGATTATAATTTTTCTCCGGCCCGCCGATGTACATAGGTGTGTGTATAATTTTAAATGCCGATGCGAAATCAATAAAATAAATTCCAACCGAGAGACTCGTTCTCCGCTGCAGCCGGTCGGTGTTTTACCCTTTTTTCGGCGTCATTATTAAAGTAATATAATAATTCGCTATCTCGGATCGCATCAAGCCTATTTGCATCGTCTGCTCGGATATATTTATATATTGTCCGAAAACAAGACAGACTGAACCCGCTTGACGTGGGCTATACCCCTTTTTCCTTACATAAAAGAGACTCGCTCACTCCCCCACTCTTAACTATATATTGGTAAAAGAAGACAAGTGGGCTTATCAAATTACCTTGTGTGTGCGCAAAAAAATTCGCGTATAATAAAAAGCGGCTTTATTCGTGGGAATAGAAATTTTACAAAACGCATCACCACACGCGGTATTATTTTCACCGGCCGACCTCCGCCGCGATTTCGCATTCATGGGCCTGTAGGTAAAATTTTATTATATATACATGTATGTACCCGCCGACTTATTAAGCTGATTATTATTATTCTGCCGCGTAGAGAGCAAACCGCAGCACTGCGTGCGTTTTTCGGTCCAGATACTCCAACCGCACATTAATTCATTGTTCTTTCAGCGTGTTTTTGGCACTGTTTAATTAATAATTTACAAATTTGTAATGAGTACTACAAATGAAAATATTTTCTTAATAAAATAATTAACAAAGAACGCAGTATGGTAGGATTAATGTAACTATTAATGCGAATTCATCAGGTAACTAATTGTAAGAATAAATATATATATATTTTTTTTTAAATTTAAAATTACAAATATTTTGCTTCTGATTGCTTGTGATGAAGACTTTTCATAATAAATGTTAAAACGATAATTTTATATACATTGTTAAATATCATATATTTAATAAGTGAAATTAATTGCAGTAAAATGTTTTAAATATTATAATATATTTCAAAAACATCAAAAGTAATTATGTATTTTGTTATACAAGGATTTTAAAATAAAAACTAATTAATATTATCTATTATTTTTACTTTTGATAGTTATTATTTTGCATTGCACATTCTCTTTGCTGCAAGGTTCGTGCGGAAAAATTTTGAGAAGCCCTTATTAAAAAAAAGAATGGTCCTTACCTTCATCAGCTACGGTCGGACGCGCCGAAAGGACTAGGATGCTGTAGACGATGCAAGTCTTGAAAACGAGGGCCATCTTCCTCGCTGGGTGTATCACAGTTGTCCGGCGGACCCGGAGGGGACCCGTTGTCTGCATTTCCTGCTGCTCTAGTGGGGCGCCTCTCGAGACATTCTCACGTGTCGTAGGACCTGCAACACAAATATATATTGTAAATTCAGAATTTAGATAATGATAATTAATAATTTATTATGATAAAACAAAACCTGTGAATTGACACTCAATAAAAATGAATCAATATTTTGATCTCAAAGGTTTTTTTTTAGCAAAATCTTTGCTATCCTTTGCCTTTTGTCCAAAATTAATTATTATTCAATAATTTTTTTTGTAACCGTGGACAAATAAACTTCAATTTAATAATAAAACAGTTGGGATTAAGGATAGAAAGTCACTTTCAATTTAGCCCGCAGTTAAGATTTATGCTTCTTGCAAGCGGTGGGACAAATTTCGGCCTAATGAGGAGAGTCAAGCCGGATAACACGCCGAAATTAAAACCAGTCGCGTCCATCTTTATTAATTTAATTAGCGCGCAAAAAGAGCGCGGGCAGGAAAAACCGAGGCCTGCACGTTCGCTTCGTCCTCTCATCACTCTTAATATTATGCATGGCGGGTCTCTTCATCGCGCATATCTAATTTACACGAAAGATACCTGAAACAAGCAGCATCTCTCAAAAAGCTCCTACAACACACAACAAGCGGCAGCATCTGGCTGTGACACGGCCGACTTGGGCATGGCGTAGAATATTTAAGCAGATAAAAATGTGATGCCGCCGCCGCCGCGCCGCTAGTTAGTTACTCCCGAGAGATGGAATCGAGATCCCTGCCGACCAACGGACCGACACAACGACCGACCACTGCATAATTTATACGCGCCGCCTTCAGGAAATTAGACTGCTTAATTAATTAATTAAAATGCGATTTCAGAGCTCTCGTCGTCGCCGATCGGTATCGGGCATCTTGATCCTTGCGCGTTTGATTTGTTGCCGGGGCTGATTCTTTTCGAATCAGTCCTCACAACACCCACCATACATACTTTTTTGATGCGTAATAAATAATGCATATATTTAACAAATTTAAATTTTTTAAAACACTAAAATTAACATAATATTTATTTATGAATTAATTTGTTTCATTTTAAATAAATATAATTTATTTCAATTTAATATTTTCAGTTTAATTTATTTAATTAAAGCACCAAAAATCTTTGCTAGCTTTGAAATATCAAAAAAATAAACGAAATGTAATTTGTAATTAAATGTATTAAAATATATTGAGCATCAGCTGAGCATGAAGAGCCAAATAAAATTGGAAAGTATTGTTTAACAAAAGCATTATTTGTCGAATCTTCTGTGCTACATTAATCATTTATTAATCCAAACGAAATAACCTCATTGCAATCTACACTAACATTAAATAATTTACATATTATTTAAACACATTTTTTGGCTTATTGAAGTAAGCCACTTCATGCACTACAAGTTTAAGAAAGGAATTTGCGAAGTGAGCAAATTCAATCTCCTCTCTCATTAGGCAACACAAGCAACAGTTTCGGATAAGGTTAATTTCGATTTTCTCATCTCCTTGCGAAACGCAAAGTTCATCTTTGCCAGGCCCCACCTGTGACCCCGACGGTGTACATTTATATTTTTTGTTGAATTTTGATTGACTGACGAACACAACTTTCTCGCATCGAGATGGATCAAGATCGTCGGCGGCGCGAGCAGGAATTAAAGAGGTGGAGGTGCCCGCGGCTGCGGCCCCATTGTGGCAATAATTGTTCGGCGGAACACCTTCGATTTCTATGAGCATGACTCGCGATTGTTTTCGCACTGCCGAGTCATTTGTTTAGATCTTTTCCGGCGTCTTTCTTTGTTGTTGTTGGTATTATTAAATAATGCAATTTAATAATGGGCACCAATCAATACGTTATTGGAGAGAAAGAACCGGCGGCATTTCTCTTTTGGGTGAGGTGCCGTACTCATTATAAACAGCCATTAACCTGACTTATGGATGTGCAGAAACGAAAAGGAAGGTCGACCCGGGTCAATTGGAAAGCGAAGTCACTCACTTGATATATCACATGGTCCCGATTAGCTCTAGATATTTGATATACACAAAATTAACAAATGATCGCGAGCTCGGATATAGCAAAATTACTTTTTGATTACAAAACACTTTGCCGAATCCGATTTGTAAATCGTGAGTATTCACAAAGGCGCAGCGGGGCGACGAAAGAATCTCTCTGGTCTGGAACCGCTTTTCAAAAAATCGACAGCAGCTGTTGTTTATAATATGCGCGCACATACTTTCTCTCATTACCCATTCGAGTATTGACCCTAATTGGCTGATTTCGGCCGATCTGAATAAATATAAAAGGGTATCGAATTAAAGAACACAGCAGCGGCGTGACATAAAAAGAGCAAAGCCCAGTGAGCCACAATATAAACCGCCGATTTTATATATATTTACTCACTCGTGACCGCCGAGACGAGGCGTGTTTCCACACACTCGCTAATTTTTTCCTCCATCCTCATTAAACTTATAAGGCAACTTGCCCCCGCGCGGCGCGAGAGATGAATCGAGATTCCTCTTCTCTCTCTCGCATTAATTGGCAACGCATCTGCGTGTGTATCTTTTTTCGCTGCTGCAGGATTAACTGGGGATCATTTTTCAATTTGGCTCGACGTCAAAACAGGATAAATATTAATACATTTCGAGACGTATGCCGCCATTGTGGCCGGCCGACTGGAAATGATTATTATATTCGTCCTTTAACCTCCCTCTATACTTTTATATCAAAAGCCGTTTCGATGATTTATGAGAGGACCGTTTTCGTCGGCGCACGGTAGCGTTAGAGGTGGCAATCTTCATATATTCCCTTTGAATCGAGGCAATATGCCGCTTTTCTCTCTCTGCTTGGCTGAAAAGAAATTTGGCACGAGAGGAAGAGAAAATTCAAATATTTTTCGGCGAAAGAGATGCTGATGATGGGCGTCGATTGAGCGTGAGGCCCTCAGCAAATTGCTAAAATACAGAGTGCCTGCTCGCGAGAAAGGCAATTTCAAGAGAGGTGCGAAAAAATATTGGCTTTTGCAGCTGCGTGTTTATTATTGTAATAACGCCTGCGATGAGGCATCAATAATGTCTGGTTTTTGTACGTTTCTTTCTCTCTCGCGCGCACTTTCTCCGCAGGTTGTTATTGCGCACCAACAAGACAAGTATGTACACAGTGATACATTCTTGAATCTTCATGCTCACAAGCAAACCGTGCGAAAAAATTTAGAGGTAGAGGTGTCGAAATCAATCACTGGAAAGAAGCCGATCTAAAAATTCTAACGTAAATGAAGTTTTTTTCAGAATACAAAATAATAGAAACAATTAAATTTAACTAAAAACTTTAAAAGATGAAGATTTCTTTCAAATATTAATCAAAAAAAGTGTTGAAATATTACTTTTTTATATTAAATCTAATTAGATTTTTAAATTTGGTTTATTAAATGATTTTAAATTGCGCAAAATTATGTAAATGCCACAATCCTTGGAAGATTTATTGCTAAACATGAAAAAATGTAATTTAACTATCTAGTGTGAAATTTGAAAGAGACTAAAATAAATTAACAAAATTATTAATTATATTGAAATTGGCCTTAATGATATATTATTAATAAATATAGTTATGTGAAATGTAAGTTATCCAAGATATATCATAAAATGAATTAAATTTGGCCACTGCTGATACGTAAAAAAAACTTCATTTACCCCCAAGGATTGATCTTTTTTCCAATTGGGCTCATGCACCCGTTTGGTTGTCGTTCCTGTCTGTGCTGCCTGCGTATTACGTCTCGCCAAAAAGCGAAATTTCATTAAAGCTCCGTCTCACGTTTTTAGCACGCTACACACGTATCCAATTAAAAAAAATCCACTTCGAGCACTCGAGAGCTGCTGAAATTTTGATTCGGTTGAATAATAAGAAATGCTGCGTTTTAATATGCTCTCCAAAAATATACTCATTTATATCACTGGGCGAGGAGGAGATTTTTAAGGAAAGGTATAAGTGAGTGCCGCGAGGACAAAAAAAATGCTTAAAATAAAAGAATGCTGCCGAGTTAATGGGATGGAAATGTCATTATATCTCATTTTCTCCGGCTGCTGTACATCATCGTATACGACGACGCACTCACTTATTTTTTCCCCGGCCGTGTAGGATCTAATGGTGTCTTGATACTGCAGCAGATAATGCGCCGCTGAATAAAAGGTACGGCTCATTCCCACGTCATTATGTAAGTAGCGCTCTTTCTCCGGGCTCGAATTTATCCTCGAATGAAAGTTATTTATTAGCTGCTGTGCGCCACCGCGCCTGCCTGATTTATTGAATTCGACGCCCGGCACTCAATATTTACGTTTGAATTCCCGCGAAAGAGAAATTTCAGTTCTCAACAAAGTGAAACGCGCTTCGGATTAATTCATTTATTTGCCCCTTTTATTTTTATTCCAATTACGCATCATTTCCAACTTATCTCGAGTTATTTAGGGCGGCTCATTTGGCCATTACACCGGCCAGGAATGGAGCAACAAACGGCGCAGATTCATCTCAATGGCAGTTTAATATGAAAAGCCAACGCTGTTTTTGTTGCGGCTAACAAGGCAAATTTATTCCGAGCTGCCTGCTTTTATCAGCTCAGCCAATCGCACTCGTGCATTCTGCGACGGTTTTCACGTTTATTTTGAAATATCCACTCGACCTACCTCGTTGAATTTTATTATACAAACACCCAGCCAGGACTTTTCGCGTGCACAAAAAGCACCGAGAGAGACGGTTTAATTTTCAATTCAGAGCTTATGCAATATCCTTTTAAGGCTGATTTATCGTCTGGCTTTCGTGGAAAGACTCACCCAGTGCCAAATGCAAGAAGTATAGTGTGTGAAATGTGAAATCAAAGTAGATTCACTTTTAAATTTAAAATTACAAAAGTTGGTGTTTTACAGGAAACCTTTTTTTTTTTTTTTTTTTTAGTTTAAACTCAATTAATAGATATTTTTCATTGAAAAAGATAAGAATACTAAAATTTAAATATTTTATTTTACCATTTCCCCTTGATTTCGCTTGCGTTGTTTCACTTTGTTATAAAAA